AGAAAAAAAGGGGGGGGGGGTTAGGGAGGGGATAGGGGCATGGAATTAAACCGGGAAGTGAATGTAATGATTAGATTGGCGAAAGCGGAAGTTCATTGCAGCACCCAGCCTACAGCCGATCTAAAATAATGAGGCAGAAAGAAGACCGACCTTGCTCCAATCCTACCTATTGTCCTCAGGCTTCAGTGGATGTTGCTACCCAGTGATTAACTACAGCATCCCCTGTCGCATAAATGCATAGCAGCAACTCATTAAAAAGAAACAAAAACTCCTCAGTGAGGGTTAAATGTTTCTTCTAAGACAGCCTGTCCAGAAAGCTCACATCTGAACATCCAGCTCCCCGCTTATAGGAAACCCTGAGGCATGGTGGTGAGGCCCAATGGCCAGCGTGCTCCAGCCAGACACGCTGCTTGTTTGCTAAGAGCGCGCTGGGGTCTGGGCCACCCCTCCTCCAGGCTCGCGTTGGGTGCCTAAGAGGACGTGTTTCTCTCGCCCAGTCTCAGGAGGCCCAGGTGCTGAAACAGCTGGCGGAGAAGCGGGAGCATGAGCGGGAAGTCCTGCAGAAGGCACTGGAGGAAAACAACAACTTCAGCAAAATGGCCGAGGAAAAGCTGATCCTGAAGATGGAACAGATTAAGGAAAACCGTGAGGCTAATCTAGCCGCTATCATTGAACGTCTGCAGGAAAGGGTAATCACCTCGGGGTCCTGAGCAGGTGCATTCCTCAGACACCGCTGGGTGAACTGCAAATCGGGCACCAGAGACTGGGTCAGAGCCTGCGCATGAGAGCACAGCTCGTCCCGTGCTCGGGCCTCAGTGTAGACAGACCTAGTGGGGCTGTACCATGGGCCGGGCATTGGGCCCCACCGGGAGGCTGGAATTGTGTCAAAGTTCCAGGGGGGATGGGTTAAGGGGGGCTAGTTCATGCTTTTCCAATGTAGGAAAGACCGCTGTGCTAACCTTCAGAGCCAACCTATTGGAAATATTAAATTAGGACCATGCAATGCTTCATTATATAGTATATATAATGTTTAATTTTCATTTAACCACTAATTAATATGCAATGTTAAATACATCAATATTAAGTTGGAAAAATATATTTGTCAGAAAAGGACAGAGTATGTATGAATGGTGGGAACCCATGTCTCCACCTGGGAACATCTACGTGGAAAGCTCGGCTGTGATAACACTGCCTGGAGCCAAAGTGAAGGGGCGCAAAGGGGAGGTGCTCATTTCCTCACGTCCATACCCTGGTGCCCTTCTCTCCACCGAATGTTAACTCGGTCCCACCAGTCAGGATGAGTGGTGCTGCAGATCCTCCCCAAAATGTTCCTTCTTGCCCTTCTGTGGGCTCTGTGCATATACACAGCCAGGGCCACCACCACCCTCCACCTCCACTGTGCC